CAACATCACCGCATCTAAATTTCGGTGCGAATTATTAGACAATCTGATCGTATTTGTTGACAAGAGGAAAATCCAAAAGTAAGAAGTTGTAGCGGTCGCTTACGGGAGGCGGTGGCTTACGAGAGGTGCGGTATCAAAATGACTGATGAGAGTCGGACTCTTCCCTAACTATACCAAATAATACTGTATTAAATTAGGTGTTTTCATTTGCTACTTCAATACGGGTAGCCAGAGAGTTACCATGATTGTAACAAAATGTTTTTTTTTTTATTTCACAACATTTCCTATTATACAGTATACCTTGTTTCACTTTCATTTACTACTGTACTATAATCGGGATGTTTTAAAATTTTGATTAATTTGAGGTGGGGGGGGGGGCTAGGAAAAGGATCCCTTGACCCCTCTCTGGTTGCGCCCCTGTGAGGCCTGGGGCGGTGATGATGATAGTGATAACTATGACCGTGGTGATGTTGGTGGTGATGATCACATGGTGACGCGGACGTGAATAAAAGCGACAAATGATGATGACGATGTTTTACCGATGATGCCGATTCCAATTTGTAAATCCAGTTTTTTTTTTCATTCGTTTACTCTACAGGTGTGGATTATAATGGTAACATGCCAATCAAAACATTCTATATGAGTACTGCTGCAATCGAAGACACTTCGGAAAGTTTAAAGAAAGGGATTTGTGCTGGGTTCCTGACTCCCATTGTATTTGTACCATCAGAACCACCATCAATTGAGCAGCCTGAAATTGTAAGTACGCCCGCGTTGGTACAAAACGAACCATATGAAATAAGGGTGTTTGAAATTTGGTGTCGTGTAAATATGAATCAACTACTGTAAGTAGGTGGGGGAGAAGGTTACGTGGGGGATCGGCGATTAGTTAAGGAGGGAATTGAGGATATTAGTTGGTTATTAACTACTTCAGCTATTTTTGTCTGCTCTGCAGGTCAAGTTTTCAGTTGGTCCGTATGTGTTCTTTGTTTTCCAAAACTTCAACAAAATGAATTTGTTTTCGTCAAAGAAGGGAGGCAACATTTCAAGGCCTATTTTATTGTTTTTGTTGGTTTTAGACACTGCCGCCATGGAATGTGTTACCAGCTCAACCAATCATTTCAGGCGCAAGTACCGATGAGAAGAACGATCCCATTATGACTGCATGTAGGCCTAAACGTTAATTTCTGACTGTTCATTAACATTATTAATAATTTTCTATTCATTCTGTAATTACAATAGTATGGTCATTAGCTAAGCTACATCTTTATGATTATTAATATTATCAGGGAGTTGTTTATTAACTCTGATATTATCATCATATCGTAATCATTATTATTATTATTAACTGTAATTATTATACCAATAATAATAATAATTATCATTATTGTTACGCAATTTTTTAAATATTTAAAATTGTATTCAATTCAGCATTACAGTGAATACAAGATAGATTGCCTGGGTGTAACGAAAATGTTCTAAGAACACTGCGGTCATTGAAACTCGTTCCTCTGTCACTAAATCCACAAATACATTTTCTATCATCATTTTCATTATGGTTATTATTATCATTATTATTATTTTATTTTTCTTAATTATCTTATGGCTTATAGTTTTTTTTATTTTAGATAATTAAAATTTTAAAAATCTCGAATTTTTAGTATCAAATAGAAATAGACTGCCACTCTTCATGTTTACTGTTTAATTCCTTACCAGCTTTTAATAATTTATTACTTTCTTTTATTACACTGCAGTTGTTGCGATGTTATTAGTTGTTATAATAATCCTTTTATTAATATGCAACGTTTGCACTGGAATTGAGATCAAAGTCATTATGGATAATGAAAAGAGAGAAAGAAAAGTGAAAGATGAAGAACAGCCTCTTATCACGCCACTTGGCACATCT